TAGCATAAGGCGGGAGCCGGCGAACCTGGCGCCTCGCCTCAGGAAAAGATAAACGCTCCCGGTGCTTCAAGTTGAGGACGGCTGCCTCAAGCTTGTAATGGACACACGCACGGGAGAAGGTAGGATGGGCCTCACCGCAGTTGAGGCAACGAGCCTGGGGAGAAGCGCACTCCGACTTAGAGTGACCTTCGCCACCACACAAAGGACAGAAAGAGACAGTCCCGGAGCAGCGGAGGGCACCATGCCCAAACCTCCAGCACTTGTTGCAGAGCCGAGGAGAAGGAATGTACTCCTGGACAGAGCACCTGGCACCAGCAAGAATGACAGAGGGTGGAAGGGTCCTACCATCAAAGGTAATCTTCACAACCCGGAGGGGTTGACGGCGACTACCACGAGGGGGACGAGTAAACGTGTCCACCTGGAGAATAGAATGGCCCTGGGCAGCGAGGATATGTCGAATATCGTCGTGGCAGTCGCGTAGGTCCCGAACACCGGTCGCAACATGGGGCGGGAGCAAAATAGTGCCAACACTGGCATTCAACTGGACGTTCTTCGAGACCCGAACGGGGGTCTCGCCAAGGCAGGATAAGGCAGCCAAGCGGGAAGCAGCATCCTGAGAAGGAGCAGCAACGACACGCGTACCGAGACGAGTGGGGTTAAAAGTAATGGAGGCATCCACGGAATCAATGAGATGTCGATGAAGGGAGAAATCGTCAGGAGGCGCAGAATCAAGAGGGAGGAGATCAAAATATTTGGCCCACGAAGCGGGACCAAACAAGGCTTGATAGGTAGCAGAACTGGAAGGAATCGAGCGAGGGCGGCCGTGACGAGAACGGCGGTGAGAACCCCCAGAGAGAGAGGGGTTAAAAGGCGCAGTAGTAACAACTAGAGAAGGAGCCGCGCCAGGGGACGAGGTAGTCACCACTGGGGGCTTGGGGCTCGACCCAACCACAGAGGAGGGAGGGGAGCCAGGGGAAGGAGTCAGAGAGGCCAAAGGAGGAGCAAGGTCGGGGCCCAATGCAGCGGAGGCTACAGAGCCCGGTCTTCCAATACGGACCGACTCGGGGGCTTGGTCGCCCACCCCACGAGCCTGAGAAGGTAAACCAGAAGAAGCCGAAGCAGGGGTAATCATCTTGACGAAAGAAGAATTCACTCACGAATGTGCCCCCACACCCACCATGGAGCCACAATTAGAGGCAGGACACCCAACAAGAAGCTATCGCCGATCTTGTCGGGGCCTCCTAGGGGTGCGTCGTGAGTATACGCCCCACAAACGCCACCTTAAGAAACCGACAGTCCGTCGAGATCGGGTTCAGTGACGAAGTGGGGATTGACAATAAAAGGTTCCCCTCGCTCTCGACGTCGGGTACTGCAGTTCTACGGGTGCAAGAGTATGCCTCCTCAAGCACCCGGGCGTCAAAATAGAAGAAGTCCAAGGGAAGAACCAGAACGAGCAAAAGGTCGGCAGGAAACGGCAAGCAGATAGGAGAAGAGGGGGGAGAAAAACGAAACAGAAGGAAAAGGAAAAGATGCCCAGCTGAATTGGAGAGGACGGCAGCAGGAGCACAAGGCTAGAAAAGGACAGGACTGTCCCAAGGAGCATCACACTCCGGCAGCCGCCCACCAAGCCCCCACACGGCGACAACGAGCTGAGCGGGGAGGGGGCCAGACCTGAAAGCTGCAGTATTAAAAGCTATGACTAAGTTTTGTAATAATAGGTATTTGTATGGTCAGCACAGTAACCTGACCAGACAATGTGATGTAGTCATTGTGGTAATTCACCTTAGCTATAGACATCAGGCAGGTTAGTGAGGCTGAGCCACTACCAGAATATTCAGATTGCAAACTGTGATAAAGCTTTAATGCATTCACTAGAACACTATATTGTTGAATGTGAAGCCGTAAGACTTTAGACCTGGTCTATAGTACCACCAACTGTGACTATTTCAGTGACTCAGGTGTTCTGGACGACATCCTAACAATTTATCCAGAATTTGCTTTTTCATTTTAAAGAATGAACAATTTTATTTATGTTACTTTTAAGCTACATCACTTCTGAACCCTTCCCTGCTCTTGTGTGGCAGTGCACAATAGTTAGTTTAGTTCATTTATTATGCACCCCATACCCATCTTGTGGGTGGTAGTGGAAAGTGTTACAGAAGCACATAATGGGCTCAGGGACTGAACCCCACAGTTCATTTAGCTAAGCAAGTTACAATCTTGAGCTAGTTACAAAATTCAATATAAGTCGTCACATCAACAATGGGTTCGAGATCGACCACAAGTACAATTTCTAAATTAAGCAACTGACATGTGGAGAGCTAGTGTCACAATTGATATGTTTGTCCTGCACACCGCCCCCCATCCAGTGGGCAGCGGTGGATAGATTACAATCGCTTAATTACTACCTACAGTTTGCAAATAGAAAGTTGTTTTCACATTCATACATTAAAACTGATTGTAACCATGATATATATACGTGCTTCCGCCTAGTGTAGACTTCTTGTCTTGTGTATGACCCTCTGTCCTGCGTAACAGTGAATACCAGCATTATCCTCACTTTAATAAGTCCTCAGATTAGGCAACATTGTAATTGTCAATAAAGATGTTAATCATAATTATAAAAGAATAATTATCATCGAGTTTAACATTAGTAGCCCAAATTGCTTTTAAATTAGCCCAAAAATTTGCAATTAGCAAAATTTTAAATTTCGTAGCACAGGGCTCTCAAAAGTAGCCCAATTCGCTACTTATAGCTCAATTTGGCAACACTGGTACAAAGAGCAATTTTCTGAGCTCCCGGGAGGAGGAGCCGCCGCCCCACAGCAACCCCCGCCAATGGGGGCCCAGCTCGCAGCCCGCCAGCCACTCACAGACCCAGCCGTCGCCACCACCTTACTCTGACCAATCATCGACCCAGGCTTCGCCACGGCAGTTGCCGGCTACTTCCACTGACCACAGCTTTAACATCTTATGCTGACAATGCTTTAACATCTTATGCTGACAATGCTTTAACATTTCCTGCTGACAAAATTGCCGACACCAACTGCCAAGAATTCGTGAGAATCCTTTATGTACTCGTCGGGAGGCCGTTCGCAGCGAAGTTTACAGTACCTGAGGAAGTCTTTACCACCCCTACTCTTGGAATTTCAAAACCTGATCTTAATTTTAACATCTCTGAGCACTGCTGCACTTGCTGATCTCCTGACCACGGCTGCCACAGCTGAACAATCTACCATCGTGTCACCATGATCACCCACCACCGATACTCCGCATGCACCCTCTATTCCAACTGCTGGTGACCTTCCATTAGACCCTCCCAAAAAGTCTCCACCTAGGCCTGGCTTCGCCTGCCAAGCCCCCTCCATCTAACGACTCACCTCTGATCGTCCCCACCGAAGACATTCCATTTACATCTAAGTTACCGACGCCATCAATCTCATGAGCTCTCCTGAAATAAGACGACGCAGGACCAGGGATTGGAATGAAAGGTATGAGAAGGAACTCCAAATGGAGGAGTCTGAGCGGCCCAGATGGTACGTTGAAGCAGAGACTATATACCACGGTGGGGATATCTAATTAATTCACCCAGACATCATTGAACCTGCGTACTTTTAAAGTATCCAGGCACCAACTTGGCCAAGGACAAGACGTCAGAACATCCGAAGGCAGCTCATACAGATCCACCCAAAGATTGTGTGCTCGCTGTACCTACTAATAGGTCTGCAGGACCTGCTGCTACTAAACTTTTAAGATACACCGATGTTTCTAATCCAGCTGATTCGTCAGACGAGATGGTCTCATTTGGTACGCCATCCCCTCCTGTATGTCAGTAAATTGCCACATGATCCAACACCAGCATATACCCTTCGGGCCACCACACCAAGCCAACCAGACAAGTCTGAGCCATTCCTCTCCTAAATAACTCCTCAGCACGCCTTACCCAAGTCACTCCCCAGGCTGACTTGCCACAAACCACAACCACTGGTACCAAGAAAGACATCGTTATCTTTTAATCTCTGCCAAATTATGAACATTGATGCGCCACAGAGTGCCGCATCTTTCAACATCACCATTCGTGCTGTCATCGGGAGGGAAAAACCTTCAGGCACACTGCACGTATCGCAGAGGCTGGTTTATCACATACTGGTTACACTTTCATCACAGATCACGTTTCCTTAATTCAACACCTTAGACCACATTTAGTCCATAATGACACCTCGGTAATCCTTTGTCAATGGATTACCTAATCCATTGACAAGCCCCACCCCACAATACACGCCTCACCCCACCTCAACACCTCCACCTTACCTTCATAACATCAACACCCCACCATAATCCCCCCACATACCTCCCACCCCGTCAACGCCTGCCTCCCCCCCAACCTCTGCGACAACTCTGGTGAAACGTAAGAAAGACGACGTGTAAACACGAATTAACAGTTCCATCGATCACACTGAAGTGTCCAACTGAACACGGGCAGCGAGGCAGGTAAACTCAGTAGACCAACCGTTATTATGACTGGACTATAGCTACAGAAACAAGTATATTTACCAGTTGAGCTGTTCTGGGGATAGCGATATACAGCTCGCTGCTATGGAGAACGAGTCCACACAAGGGTATATAGTAAAGGAAGATCTGTCAGGCTTGAGATTATACAACCTTACCTTGAGGTGCTTCCGGGGCTTAGCGTCCCCGCGGCCCGGTCGTCGACCAGGCCTCCTGGTTGCCGGACTGATCAACCAGGCTGTTGGACGCGGCTGCTCGCAGCCTGACTTATGAGTCACAGCCTGGTTGATCAGGTATCCTTTGGAGGTGCTTATCCAGTTCTCTCTTGAACACTGTGAGGGGTCGGCCAGTTATGCCCCTTATGTGTAGTGGAAGCGTGTTGAACAGTCTCGGGCCTCTGATGTTGATAGTTCTCTCCGAGTACCTGTTGCTACCTACCTACCTACAGAGTACCTACAAGATGTAACAATTACCTGTATTGATGTACTAACCTGCTGCCGGCGTCGTAACCATCTCCTGTAAACCAAAAGGGAAACAAACGTGAGAAAGGATGAAGTTAAGAGAATGATGTTATGTTATAGATTGGCGTGAATAGAGCAAGACTTTAACCTAGCAGTAGTCATTCACGTCCGTATCAACATAAAAAAAATATCTTACTTTTAATTTAAGGATATTCAGGGGCAGGTTTGAAGTGGTTATTTGCCTGTATATAAGTGGCATTTTTGTGTAGAAGACGCAGCGTGGGGCGCGGCGCCCACCACGGGAGACAGTCCCACACTGAGGGCCGCCGGCCGGACAAGAGCGGCGGCGCTGCTCATTACCCAACAACTCTAGACTGATGGTTCAGTCATATATTAGAATTCCCAGTATTTTAATAAGATGACACAGTTACCTGAAATCAATTTTTTTTTTATTTTCAACTAAAACTACAGTAGTGTTTGTCTCCACGTTTCCTGAAAGTATAATGCCTCTGTTCACCCATAGTATTACATTGAAGCTGAAAACTGGCTGTTGTGAGAAATGCCGCTTCAACAACAAATACAGAATGCTACATACAATTGATTTAAATACCGTTAACTTACTAATTATATTGTAATTTGGCAGGAAATAATGTTTATAAGGTAAGTAATGCTAACCTTTCTTCTTAGGAATACAGGCCACTAGTTGTTGGCCTGAACTACTGGCCCTAGCATCCTAGGGCCAGTAGTTCTACCATATGAGGACCTCCATACAAGCCTAAAGTATACTGAATATATATGCGCAGGCTTCCTGTCCCTGACAAAACGAATCGTGTACTGTACAAGTGAGGTTGAATACACAGAAAAGTTCAAACCTTAATGAACTAAGTGTATTTGTTTATTAGGCAGTATAGCAGACATCGTCATGTCCTTATCCCTTCAGATGGTAATAGCCAAGTCTTATAAAGCACATCACAATAGCCCCAACTATGAAACTAGTGTCATAACAAAGTTACTAGTAGCACAAGCGAAGTTACTGGTGTTACAACAACAAGGGTACTGTAAGGCTTCCCATCAGCAGCTGTGACTGCCACATCTGGTAAAAGAAAGCATAGGCACTCAAGGAACCATGGACCACCAGCCTCCTTTAAGTCCTAACACACCGGGGCTATAATGAGAAACTAGGGTAAAAAATCGCCATTGAGGCGGCCACAAGGGCAGAGGGCCAGCAGAAGCCTGCCAGGGTAGGAAGAAGGTGGCTCTCATTAATTGGTGGAAAGGCAACAGTGACCAGTTAAATATGGGAATAGAGGGAAAGCTATAACAACCTGACCACGAATGTAAAAAGAGGCAGCGGTGAGGAAAACCAACCACTCAGACTGTCACTGACAGGTAGACACGCCAGGCATGAGAAAAGCAGCTCTCCTCTACAAACTATGTACCCCGACCACCAATACCCGGCAGGGAAAGACTCAACCCAAGTGCACCTTCAGTGAAAGAATTAGGCTCCTACATGTGCAGGGTGCAGGTGTCATCACAACACAACTACACTCCCTATCAATAGGCCTCATAATGGAGAACGTGAAATGCTGTTCATATTAATAGATTTAGGCATAGCATGTACTAGCTCTAGAAATCCAGTACTGTATTCTGTTTGTAACTCATCTTTTATGTATGTACTTTTACCTGAATCAAAATTTATTATTTATTTTATAACAGGCCCTATGCACTACCAAAGAGTGAGGCAACTCAAGGAGTTGGCTCATAGTGGAAGAAACCCAAACCCCTCAGAACAGGTATTTCTAGTGAGGCAAGGGGAAATACAAGCAAATTGCCAGGAATGGGAACTCTGAAGCACAAATTGAGCAACTTACAGCACATGTGGATTACATTAAACAATCATAAAGAAAGTTAACAATAACAAACCAATGACCCCTAGCAGAACTAATCCTTTAGAGCATTAGAACTACTATCCCGTCTCAACATAAGATTCCAACATAAAGAAAATGTCATTCTAAAGTGCCCTATCCTAAGCTACCAGAGGACCCAAGACAGAAAACAGTACAGTACGTCAATTTTGCAAGCCACTTCCATTTTCTAGTATGAATTTTTGGTCTTGAGTAGAGTACACGTCAAAATGTGGCACTCTATTAGGACGATGGGTTAATACAACAACACTTAGCTGAAGCATGAAGAAAAGCATGGGGGTCCTTCAGAGATTGCGTGCTCTTTGTTGTGACCTGGCAAATGAATGAGGGGGCAGGCTAACTGGGGGCCCTGGTGACCTAGGCTGCTACCAGATGGCAGTTAGATGCCTCACAATTATTTATACCACACCAACAATTGTTTGGCTCGTTACTGCAGTACAGATACTTAATTTTCTTTAAACAGCTTTCGTATTGGTTTTGAGTTTGTTTCTCATCCCTAGGCTTCCCTTGCTTAATAGAGCCAGAATCAGGTCCTACCTCTTGGAGGCTTGGTATACAGTACCTCCAAAAGGCTTGGCTGGACAAGTGCTTAGCTCAAGAAGCTACTGAGGAAGACCTCCCAGAATCTCACCAAAACCTACCCTAAATGCAGAAGGAAATGCCTAATCTACCTGAAATATTGTATACAAAATAGCATTATGAAAATATATATTGTTGAAAAACGCTAGGCCAGGATTCCTAGCGAATCCCCCTGGCCAGGATTCATTGTGAAGCCACTTAAGTCAACCCATTAGACATTAAAGGGGATGTTTGAGGAGGCTGACTTGATTTAGTCATAAGGTGTAATTTATGCCTTTTAACTCAAATAAAACTTTATTTGCTTAAATAATTTATTATTTATTCTCCATATACAAGCTTATTTACAATATATTCATAATAATTTGCAACAGATCTTACAAAGCCAACATGGGATATTTATAAGATAGGCCAGATTTACAAACAGTTGTCATTCCTTACATTCTCGTAAACTGTCTCAACTAGAAGTTTGCAGTCCACATATAATAGTCTTCATTTATGTCTACAAGGATCTACATATCGCAAAATATACAAAATTACTCATTAATTTGACAGAACACTTAAAGGCAACAATGGATATTATATAATTACTGTACAAGTTTCAAAAACAAATAATAGACTGTTGATTTCAAAACACATTTTCTTTGTAACAAGTGACAGAACACTCAATAGCAAGTAATGACTTCAGTACTTCATATGTATATTCTAAATGAACACTGGAAATAATAAAATGACCATCAGTCCTGCTTCTTTACAGCATCCTGTAAAGTGCTACATATCTTGAAGCATATACGTAGTGCTATGACCTCTAGGCAAATCAAACACCACAGTCATTCACAGACATCTAAACTTAGTTTTACATTGTCATGTGCATTAAGTACAGTATATGTATCAGGCAAACACAAGTCAAAATACACATTACGGTCATTTACAACACACATGTATAATGTAATTATTTACTCAGCCGCTAATAGTTTTAAGATGCACTTTTTGGCTCCACAAAGACTTTGTATAAAGTACTGTACCTTTACTGTTTCTACTCATCACAAATAAATTCTTACTTTTCATACATGTTGACACTATATACAAATAGTATTCACTCTACATTATAGTTTTTGTATTAAAACTGTTAAACTAACATCTTATTTATAGAAAATGTGGCAAGGAACATCATAAAAAAAGAAAAATTTTGGACCAATTGATAAGATAGAAATTCCTTATTTGCAAAAAATAATGCATCAAAGGTTTGGATATACAGTACTGTACTGTATATATGTGAAGTTAAACAAAATTGTAGATATATTGCATTGGTGTGCAACAGATGATCTACCTGGACCAAAACAATTACAGACTTCATAGAGAATGCAACAAGAACTGATGCTGAGCCCAGAAAAGAATCTATTGTTCATGTAGTTTCATGGATTAATTCAATATATTGTACTACAGTACCATTTAAATTAATTTTATATCCTGTTATCAACTTAGCCCAAAATGCTATTAATTTTAGAGAACAATTATTTCTGTCAAGGTGGCTTGAGGTCCAGTTACTAAATATATATAGCACAATAACCCACAACAGACTGACACAACGTTTTCTCTCACACCAACGTTCACAACCACAGATAGCATTGCATAATTATAATGAATCAGCTATCATACATATCCTTCTAACCTGAATAAATCTTATTGCCTTTTCATGTAAATTTCAAATCATAATAAAAAATACTACAATTAAATTCTGATTTCGGATTTGGCAGTTTTAGCACTTTGGAAAGTAAATCACCTTTGACTTTTTTTTTACATTTCATCAAATGAATTTTGGACATTTCGTAACTTAACACGTTACAATAACAATCCTATTTTATTATGTGTTCATCTCCATATGTCATGTGTCGCACTTTCCCGGCCTCAAACGTTTCTTACTTGGCTCATACCATTTCCATAATGTCAAAAAAAAAAAAAAAAAAAAAAAAAAAAAAAAAAAAAAAAAAAAAAAAAAAAAATCATTCTTACAGCTGAATTTGTTAAAAAAAAAAAAAGTGATAGCTACTCCAAGCTTGGAAAAAACAAAAATGTCTATGATGCCCAGCAGCACTGGAGCTGTGGATATCCTATCAATTTTTTATGTATGCATCCTTCTTCAACAGCTGCAGCACACAGCTCAGGATGTTGACCAGACCACACACTAGAAGGTGAAGGGACGACGACGTTTCGGTTCGCCCTGGACCATTCTCAAGTTGATTCTCAAGTCACAATCGACTTGAGAATGGTCCAGGACGGACCGAAACGTCGTCGTCCCTTCACCTTCTAGTGTGTGGTCTGGTCAACTTACTTTAGCCACGTTATTGTGACTTATCGCCTGCACACAGCTCAGGAGCTAAGGCCATCCAGTACAGCCGGCTCTGCAAAGACTCAAGCAAAACATTCTGCATATTCTTTGAACTGTATTTCCATCATACATGTTCTAGTACACTGCTAGTAGAAAGTAACATCTGTGTCTACTGACCGAAGTAACTCGAGGAGTTATTTAAAATTGTCAATTCTCGATCAATCATCCAAATGATTTACGTGTACTTGAACAAAGTATAGTGTCAAGTATAAATATAGTGAAAAAGTGTCAAGTACACTTGTTCAAGTTTGTGGCCCAAAGACAACATGAAAAATTTAAACAAGTATTTTTACATAACACGCTTGAATTTATATATCAATGTTTGGGCTTTGTGATAGTGGGGGTATATAGTTTCAATAATTTCATCAAAGTTTAAGAAATGGGCAAAAGTGTTCATTGAGAATGCGTTGTCCACCTCGTGAATAATACAATACCCTCTACCTTCAGATGTTGCTGTGGAAGAAATCCTATGGGGAGATCAGGGAGAGGCCCAAGGTCAGGCTTCTGAGACATGTAGTCAAGATCAAGTACTGTATTAAGGGGTCAATGACATCAAATTAAAAAACGTGCCAACTGAGCTCTGCCTGTTTTATTACAGTAGCCGTCAGGTCAAGATTACGAAACTTGGTTCTATGTGTATTCTCGAATTCTACATTGTAATCCAATTCATATCAGTAGACTCTGACTTACTTGTCAGCCAGAAGTGGGATCTCATGGCCCACACTCAACTACCCTTTGCATGAAACAAAAGCACGAGCTGTCTTGCTCCCTCCCTCAAGGCAAGTCTGTACCAAAGGGAAACAAATAGGAAACCACAACCTTCCTCAATTGGGTAGATATCTGTAAACAACTGGGTTTTTATGACAAACCAGTGGAGACATGGGTATACTGTACTGGAAAATATTTTAAACCAAATTTAAACAACACGGGAGGTTTACAGGTAAACAAAAATATATTATTATTTGGTCACATTAGAAATATAAAACAGTTTTCCCTGGGAAACTCGAGCAAGAAAAGGAAAGTTGCCAATGAGACCATTCTACAGATGCACCCAGGCTGCACTTCCACAAGAAAGAAGATCCAGAAAGTGGCAGCATAATGAACATCTCTCTGTATTAGAGAGAGCCTGGAACAAGGAAATATTCTTAGTAGTAACCAAGAGCAGAGTTGAAGTTGTGAAGGACTCAAGTGGAGGCCTACATTCTAAAAAACAGCTGGCTAGAACTAGATATAACTCCTAGTGAATATCAGAAGCTTATTTCCAAAACCCAACATGGTTTGACTGCATAAGGATGATCAAGAAGAAATCATTGGTCTCCTATGGTACCAACGTCACAATGCAAACACTGTGCAGGCAGTGGCACTTGTCTGCTGTATAATTCACACTTCAGAGCCATGTGGCAGTCTGACAATTGTCTCAAACTCACCTATTTTTGTATTTATCTAGCTTGGTTCCCAACATTATTCTTTCTTGTCTATTCTCAGTTTCATCCTGTTTTTCAGATATATACTTATATGTTTAAAATAAACATTATACAAGCATTAAGAAAACAATTTTCATGCTAAATAAAGTATTACTCAAGCTTAAATAAGATTCAGTGCAAACCCAGAACATATCAAGAGATTGTACACAAGCTGTTGTAAGGTGGTTTCCAAAAGAGAAACATAGGAAGCCTTGACGTCCTACAGCACCCCCCAGCCACAAAAGACACTGTGAAGACTGAAGCTAAGGAGTTGGCCTATTGAGCAGAAACAAAACATTCATCCCTAGGAGACAAAGCTCCTAGAGAACCAATCCCAATAAATCTGGAAATGGGGGCATAAAAGACTTTAAAACATCAACATTGTCACCCACCAAGCTCACATGGAAGATGTGATGCCTAATTTCACTCAAGAACAGTGGACCTACAGAAATAAAAAATTTCCCCAGATAAACTGAAGATTGTCTGCCAGTCAAGAGACGGGCTGAACAACCTAAAGCAAAGCAGGGTCAGGTTCAGAAACCCAGCCTTCAACCCTCAAGAGGAAAAGATTCAAGTCTCCTCAAACCTGAACAGCAGAGAGGTGACAGGCAGAACTTTGGAGTACTTAAACATTATTTGCTACTAATGGAGTGATGAACTGGACTTGATGTAGAAATAAAAAAAGCATCAAGATGTATTCGAACCAGGTTGGTTCATAAACAATACCCCCAATCTGGAGAAATGAACTGTTAAATTTGGAAACTGACTCCAACAAAAGGGTAAAATGTTAACCAGGCCAAGACCTCTAAGAATGCTTCAAGTTGAGATGCTTCATTACCCAGGAAAGGAGGACGACCAACAGCTGAACTCTGCAACTAAGCCAGTTTCAATCCATGGTTTCTGGGGACAAGGACTCCAACACCAGAGAAGAAAATGAATACACTTCCCCCACCAAACTATGATAAAAACCAGCATTGAATGTAATGAAATGTCATTTTCTGGGGAGGCTCCCTGAAGCTATTTGAACTGATATGTGCTATATTAGTTTGGGTTCATCAGTCATAGGCGTCCTTATGCCTACCAGGGAACACGAGCCAGAACCTGGTCCCCTCAGAGAGGCACAGGGAGCAATGGCCCATGAACACTTTACATTTAAAGTCTGTCATAATTACCATCGACCGAGAAAGGACCCAGAAAGGTAGGCGAATCAAAAGAGACCACTGTCTGGCTAACTTGTGCAATCTACATTCTAAAAGATCAAAATAACTTCCCTAGAAAGAGACCCAACGAGCAACACTTCATACAACTAGCACTCTCGCTCATTAGTGCTACCCTCATCTGGGGGGGGGGAAGGGTGATTGGGTGTAGTGCGCCCAGGTTACGAGGCTGTGATCTTGTTTCTAACCAAGCAGTAGTTTGTTTTGCTTCGCTGACTTTCTGGCTACCTTCCCTTGGTGGTGACAGACATAAATGACTTTACATAAAAGTTTTCAATAGTGCCATTGCTCCCTGTGCCTTTCTCTGAGGGGGCCAAGTTCTGGCTCGTGGTCCCCGGTTGACCAATAAGAACTCTGCGACTGATAGCAACAGTAGTATGGCACTGTATCAGTGTAGTAGCTTCAGGGAACCACAAGGGGCTCCACGAGAAAAGGGTGAAAATTATACCATTAGCTCCTCCTATTGCTCCCTGAGTTATGCTAACAAATGAACGTAACACACACACACATGCAAATAAATAATACACATACTACATGAATTAACTGATAACAGTATATGGCCCTAAGTCTAATTCAGCACACAACATAACACACTGGGCAAAGATTGCAGTTACTAAAGGTCCATAGCAAGAGGATGGGGTTTGCAAGACGAACCTTTACCTGCTAAAACAAAAGAAGCCTAAGTATTCAAAAGTGAGATTCAAGTGAAGTCTTTACCAGTGTTTGAGGATTCAATTACAGTAGACTGGACCAAATGAACTAAATGATATTCTAAAAACAGAGAATCCAGTGAAAGCACTGCTAAGGCTGAGTTGACAAGCACAAGTATTTACGTGAATGTCATAAATATCTAGCAGCCGTTTATAAGAGGATTGCAAAATCAAATGTTTGAGCAGGATTTGAAGCCCCCCTTCCCCCCCCACACACACAGCAGTCTGAACACAACCAAGATGGATAGTGACCTAACAGATACAATGCTGGAAGCAGAGAGGGTGAGTGTATGAGCTACTGACCTCTGCAAGACATCCTATCTGGCTGCATTAAAAAGTAGTTTACTGCTTCCTGATCTGAGTCACGACCAGTAAACTAGTCACCTGTGAGAATTGAGGCAGTAAACAAAGACTCAGCCTGCACAGTGATAATTGAGTATATCCAAGAAGAAGTAGAAAACACAAATGCCTAGGTCCTGAAACCAACCAACTAGATACCATGAAAGCAACAGGTCAAGGCTAAAGCACAAACCAAAATAGAATGGAGGAGAACTCTGCATCACTGCAACTGTTTTTTAATGAGGCACATTATTTTGTTTAAATATACTGCATACACACTGTCCTAGTCAGAGTCATTAGTACCATAGGTTTCTGAGAATGATAGCAAGTAGAGTACTTAATTGATCTAGCCTCAAGCATGCCCAAATCATCACTGACATGGGTCAGGAGGTTAAGTGATTGGACATGACTGGGGACCTGGTGTTGATTTTAGTGCCACCATCTAGTGGCAGTCAGTGGAACTATCTAATCAGGAAATTATCAGCTGAGTTAGGTCACTAATTGACTGGCCCTGTAATGCCAAGTATAGGTTTTGAAAGGTTTTTGTGAATTATTAGGAGTACTTTCTTTGGTCACTAGGCAGAATAAAGATCTATTCCAGTACCTCTCAAGCACAATTATGACACAGCAGGAACAAAAGATCCCTGCTGTACTGGTGTACAACTGAAAACCAGCTGTGTCAGTGTGGTATATAACCAGCTGTGCTAGTGTTGTGTATCACCATACTGCACGGATGTGATATATCACCATGCTGCACAGATGTGATATATCACCATGCTGCACAGATGTGATATATCACCATGCTGCACAGATGTGATATATCACCATGCTGCACAGATGTGGTATATCACCATGCTGCACTGGTGCAGTATATTATCCTGCTTTAGATATCACGAACTTTTCCACTGGGACATTCAGTCAGCTTTCCTTAGGGAACATCCAAGTGGAACATCTCTCAGAGATGGAGATTTTCAGTGGATAAAATATTGTGTGAAAATGCTAATGTGGTTACCATTCCTAATTTTACTAACCTGCAAGTCAACGGACATAATAAAATTCTGGATATTGTGTTGTTAAATGCTCTAATATTCAAAACACATGACTTGACCTAATGTATGTATGTATGTATGTGCTCATTCTTGAGCTTGTTCACATGCGCGAGTCTGTTGCTGTCTGTCTGTCTCTGTCTGTCTGTCTGTCTCCCTCCCTCTCCCTCTCTCTCTCTCTCTCTCTCTCTCTCTCATCAAAATTGTGGGATAAGCATTATGAAAAAAAAGACTCAAAGAGTTATAATTATTTTCAGTGAAAAAGTGGAAAGTGTAGACAGCAGAGACCTAACCAAAAATCTTCAAGCTACTGAAACAATTCAATAGCCACACAAGAACTATTTAAGATGCAAGGCAATACAAGAAATAATGGTATGAAACGTGTGGGAAGTAGATGCATTACAAAGATTTAAGGCAGCTTCTTTGCCTAACATTGTAAAAATTGGAATAAATTACCCTCTTATGTTGTGGATACAAACTCAATACAGATCTTTTAGGAAAAATCTGAAATGGTAAATTAAGCTTATTCAATTAAAATCAACATTCCTATAAACTGTGATACTGTGCAACATACTTCACTGTGTTAGCCTATAACTGTCCCATGTGGCACTTCCCTTGTTGTTGTTGCTCCTCCCCCTCCACACCTGTGTGTGTGTGAGATCCTTCCCTCCCCCTCCACACCTGTGTGTGTGATCCTTCACTCTACTTCCCTTCTTGTTGCTGCTCTACACCTGTGTGTGTGATCCTTCACTCTACTTCCCTTGTTGTTGCTGCTCTTCCTCCTCCACACCTGTGATACTTCACTCCACTTCCCTTGTTGTTGCTCCCCCCCTCCACACCTGTGTGTGATCCTTCACTCCACTTCCCTTGTTGTTGTTGCCCCCCCCCCCCTCCACACCTGTGTGTGTGATCATTCACTCCACTTCCCTTCTCTCTTTCTGCTTTTCCCCCCCCTCCACACCTGTGTGATACTTCACTCCACTTCCCTTGTTGTTGCAGTTCTGTATAATATTTCTTTACTTTGTTTCGTTATGCAATGATAAAATATGTCCTTGTAGCAAATGCTAAATTTTCACAAGCCATGACCTATTCACAAAGATGCCCACCCAGAAATTTGAAGAGATCACACTCCTTGTTTTATTTAGGGTAAAGTATCTTGCTGGATCAACTTCTTATACTTTCAATTACGTATGTGAAAGTATCGTCTCTTTGGTTCATCAACAACAACTTGCAGACAAAATTTAAATGGAAATAATTTCTTTATTCTAAATTTATTTTTAGATCCAAATATACTGCACAAAACAATAACAATACTTATACCTCATATATTAAAATGCATCTTTTGATCAGTTCAGGAACTTTGCAAATTTCTGGGATCTATAACAGATTTGACTTGTTTCCATATCAATCATGACTTTCCAAGCAGTTCATTCATGTCCTATTAAACATAAATAACAAATTATGCTGTCTCCATATACAGCAGGAGCACAGCAGCATTGTCACTGTCCTCTGGGCATCTCTCCCCAGTATACAGCAGGAGCACAGCAGCATTGTCACTGTCCTCTGGGCATCTCTCCCCAATATACAGCTGGAGCACAGCAGCATTGTCACTGTCCTCTGGGCATCTCTCCCCAATATACAGCTGGAGCACAGCAGCATTGTCACTGTCCTCTGGGCATCTCTCCCCAATATACAGCTGGAGCACAGCAGCATTGTCACTGTCCTCTGGGCATCTCTCCCCAATATACAGCTGGAGCACAGCAGCATTGTCACTGTCCTCTGGGCATCTCTCCCCAATATACAGCAGGAGCACAGCAGCATTGTCACTGTCCTCTGGGCATCTCTCCCCAGTATACAGCAGGAGCACAGCAGCATTGTCACTGTCCTCTGGGCATCTCTCCCCAATATACAGCTGGAGCACAGCAGCATTGTCACTGTCCTCTGGGCATCTCTCCCCAATATACAGCTGGAGCACAGCAGCATTGTCACTGTCCTCTGGGCATCTCTCCCCAATATACAGCTGGAGCACAGTAGCATTGTCACTGTCCTCTGGGCATCTCTCCCCAATATACAGCTGGAGCACAGCAGCATTGTCACTGTCCTCTGGGCATCTCTCCCCAATATACAGCTGGAGCACAGCAGCATTGTCACTTGGTACCTTTCTTCCCAAATAACAATGTAACCACCACCACATTAACTGATGCAAGGGTAATCTATTTTCTTATTTTACTTCTCTAAGAATGTTAATAAACCTCCTTGCAGGCTGACTGCAATTCATTAAGAATACAATCAAATCAACATGATCTGTAATAACAATTACATTGTGTGTTTGATATTAGTACCCATCCTACCAAAATCTCCATAAGAAATGTCAAGTGTATCAACGAAGGCAGGTAGGCCTTGCTTACCTGCCTTGGTATTTGTTCAGTTGAATATTATGTTATTTGTTCAGCCCGTCCTCCTAAGTTTCCCAGCGTCAAGAAAACGGTCAAATCAAAGTGTTCTCTCCTAACCTATCAGAGGACCCAAAACAGAAATTGGGACAGTACATCACCATTGCAAGTCGCTTCTATTTTCTAATACAACAATTTTTGGCCTTATGTAACGCATGCGATCGAAATGTGCCGTTCGTTATAAGAGGACAGGTTAGTTTGTTAATGTCTTTATGTATATTATACATCTACCAACAGGGGGCTTAGTAATCATTTTGGTTATCACATGAGTCATTAATTACATTCTGGCTCTTTTAATCCTATGAAAATGCTAAATAGTTTATCTACACAAGTGAACATGTAAGGCATGTGAAGGTGTACAGAATAACCACTGATTAGTTGATATATACGAGTTTGCTTTTAATATACAGTATATGAAAATCAACCCAAACCATATCCATATTTTCCATAAAGATACCTGTAGCTCTCAAAGCTTTAAAAATTGTAGAAAATACATTATTTAACACAAGCTTTTCATAATGATGACAAACATTAAGGCCTAGTTGCTTATCTACATGCAATAATGTGCATATAGGTGAATGCAGCTAATGAATATACATGTAAGTGGGCTACCATCAAAGTATTATAGTGGATATATACATTTTATATTACATTTTTCCACTAGGAATTCATCATACATAGAAGAATGACATAATATTCAACATTTCCATTATCTTCGAGTATGAGAGAGTGAGTCCTGAAGGAACACATGAAACAGTTGGCAAGGAATTCTACTTAATGGTTTTAAAAATGATTATGAATTCAACTCTTGAATATGGAAAGTAAGTTATGAAACTACAGTATAACTCTTGTATCAAAGGTATTACTATAATTTAGCACTTTTTTATTTAATTTTACTTTCTAATAAGTTATGAAATCCATTCATTTATAAGTATTTTATTCTCAGCGAACTGCCTTTAAATGACTTAAAACCTCTTTAGTATCAGATTAAGTTTTCATTCACTTCGAATATTGTATGTCTGTGTGCTGTTGATGTTTGTGAATGCTCCACTCTCATTGTGACACTCTTCTCTATATGATAACTATAACAAATACTGGCATTGTTGTAGAGACGGAGCAGCAGCCGCACACATGATGACTGGTAATGTCTACACAACAGTGGGACCCACACAACAAACACACCAGGCAAAGCTTTACCCAACACTCTTCATTTCCCATACACAGTAAAATTCTGTAGGCAACATCTAAAATTAATTAATTAATAATGTAGGGTCAAAAATAAATCAAAATGGCTAATGAAAGCATTACGAAAATGAAAGCTATAATGAGCACATGATCATGATGTCTAAAATGATATATAACTACAGTTGTAGTCTATGTTAGTGAGAGAGAAAACAGTTTGAAGAGTGCATGTGATGTACATGTAGACTTACTCACATAACCTATATAGATAAACTTTATATTGTAAATATTTACAATTAATATTCGTCCCTCCAGAAAATTTGGATTATAGTTTTCAATGATCTACCTTAGTACCATTTACACGCTCAATACTCAATGCAGTTGATAATGTTATTCTGAAAAGACAGAACCATATGAAGAACACTTGAAATTAATTATTTGTTTAATTTAAAGTACTGTATTTAAAATATAAGTGTACAGGTATAAAGAATAGCAAACACATAGATAATTCAAAGTATTATTTTGGAATAAAAGTATTTCTTTATATTTATAACATAAATATTTGAAGTGTAAATTATAAACTTACAAAACTAATTTTAACGTAGCAATAACAAGTTATCATTAGTCAGTAATGGAACACCACTCATACCACTGGCTGACTGCAGAGGACTCTGCTCAGCTTGAAAATTCAGAAATTTTGACCCAAATTATTTTAAGTGGTGGAGACAATAGGTCACAATAGCTGAAAACAGACACCCAGCCTACAAATCTGAAAATAAAGGCATTAACAATGGTTCGGTCCCTCCTGGACCATTATCAAGTCATGTGATGGTCCCTCCTGGACCAAAACGTCGTGAATTCCTTTACTTTCAGATCTGTGAGTTAAGTGTCTCATTTTAAGTGGTAATGTTAATGCCATAAATCTTGTCACACCCTCACAGCTAGAGATGTGACTATAATGTGGCTGTAGCTTACCACACTTTGGTGTCCGCACCACACAACTGAGGCATACTTGCGATTTTGTCCGTGCCTACAGGACGAGGAAATAACAAAAATCTAGTCTAAAATAATTCTCTATAGAGGAAGACTTCCTACTTCTCCCATCTCTGTGACTGGATCGTCATCTAGAGTGTAACTGAGCATGATCTTCAGGGACACATTCAACTGCAAAAGAAATACCAACAAATAAATATGTATTTAGAGAAATCCAGTGTAAGGAGGTCAGAATTTTGGAGGCTTCACTGTACAAACTTCTATACATGCAAATAAAATACAGTAGAACTAACTGTTCTTGGAGAAATGTTTGCACAACTGAACAGGCAGTAAATGCAACAAATAAAACACTGCTCACAGATAGTTAAAACATTATAAACACTAAATAACACTTACAAAATAATTGTTTTACAAAAAATCTACATTTAACATGTTATACAAATGTATAACAAAATGAGGAGTTAAGAATTACCATAAATATGCAATAACACACTGTATTAATCATTACAGCCAAATTATACACAGAAATCACAATTACGTGATGCATCAAATGAACAAATCCACAACGGCCGTGACGAGGATTCGAACCTGCGTCCGAGAGCATCCCAGACGCTGCCTTAATCGACTGAGCTACGACATGGTCAAAAGGAGTTGAAACCGAAGTTCTACTGATCCAGTAAGTTCAGTAGAACTTCGGTTTCAACTTCTTTTGACCATGTCGTAGCTCAGTCGATTAAGGCAGCGTCTGGGATGCTCTCGGACGCAGGTTCGAATCCTCGTCACGGCCCTTGTGGATTCGTTCATTTAGCCAAATTATCTTGTAATAACGGGTTTTTGGGGGCCTACTTATACAATGTTGCCCTAATTAATATTGTCCATAGCATTCCCATGCAAACAATTGAAAGTTTGAGTTTGTATTGTTTATTACTTCTTAAATTAAACTTTTAAAGCAAAAATCTGTTATGGAATAACAAAGAGTTTGTCATAATAACACAGTACACATATGTTGTTTGTTTTTATTATAATTTCAGCCAAAACGTACTCAGAACCCAGACCTTGCCTAAATACACCGATTGTTTCTCAATACTGCCTAACTTATGTAAAACTAGGCCTAGGTTACAAATGTTTCAATATATGCAAAAACTGCTCTATTTGTCAGGCAAATGGGACTTGCTTAGTAGACCAAGTAATGTATTCCTGGCTATTATATACAAAACATGCATACACAGACACAGAAAATAAAGACATGTTGAAATATATTTTGATATTTGTAAGATTACAAATATGGCTGTAATGAACACTTAAGAGCCCTCCAAATATTAAGATAATGTTTGTTCCATATTATACCTCGTAAATATGTAGTCACACGAGCAAAACTCGGCAGTTTTATGACAAATATGATCAAACAAGGCAATACTTACTTGATTTGGATTGGCAATAAGCATAATCTGTGTAATAGCTGGAGGAGGCAGGAAAGGGCTATAAGCTGCTAAGTCAGTTGATGACGGCGGTTGTAATCGCACTTTACAGCCCTGAAATTTACCCCATGCATTATTACAGATATAAATGAAACTTCTTATAACATGAACAATAAAACATTGATATACTGTACTGTATTCAAACTTTAAATAGGTGTTTTAGTCTGGGCCTTTTGTATGAATATAAAATGCTGCCTTCTGAGCTATACCTTGAAATGCTATCTACGAAAAGAGTTATTCTGATCCCAGTGGACACAATCATGAGTCAGGACAGGATGACATCCTTCACAAGTGCACAAGGGAGGGCACCAAACATTCCTGCTATGTCACACTCAGGCTTACACAAACCACACACAAAAAAAACCCCACAGCCATGAAGAACTTGGCCAAGGCATGACCTGTGGGCTAAACAAATATAACATGCTCTTATGCACAGGTGACACAGCTACTTAGTTCTTACTTCCAAGTGGAAGGGCCCAGAGATGTTAAACATGCCAAAATTATCATATAGAAGAAAAAGAGGCGATATGATCACCACTTACAAAATTACTAACAGGAAGCAACTGAATTAACAAAGAGGAATTCTTGAAACCAGCAACTTCACGAACAAGAGGATACAGATTCACGCTACAGAAAGCAAAGGTGACTTAGCCTGTTTACACTTAGCCTGTTTACCCAACAGTAAAATAAATGGGTACCTGGTTGTTAAACAATTTGGTAGGTCATAGTCCGGGAAATATTAGGATTAAGGACTTGCCTGAAATGCTATGAGTGCTAGTGGCTGTACAAGAATGTAAGAACTCTTCTATAAATAAAAAAACTCTTGGCTGGGTTGACTTTCTGACCAGCATCTCTGTTGCAATGGTGCAGTGTCACCCAGCCCTGACTCATGATTATGTCTGCTTGAACCAAAATTAATTTTGCCTTCAGGATGTATCCGAGTTGGGCATCTCAAAAATATAATTAAGCCCAATATAGACCAATATCTTACTTATGCATACCCTAAATATACAGTGTGACATATTTTATATTTATCTTTTTGGCCACAGCAGTGAATGGAGGTGTGGATTGTCTGATCAATTAGGTGTTGTAAATAACAATACAGTGTAATTAATAAAATATAGTTAACACCTCTATTTCTACCAACCTACCCACCAATTTTGTCCTTGGTTGGGCAATTCACTTTGTACAGTGCGTTTTTTAGCACATTAATGTATATAATTAAAAAAAATTCTACTGGTATGTGTTCCGTGATACTACATAAACTACACACCTCCATTCACCTCTACAGTGACTTCTCATCCCCATACAGTACAATAAATTTATAAGGAATGCCGATTCAAATTCATAATAATCAAACCTTCTAATTTTGGCTACTGTGGAAAGGGGACTTTTATATTTTTTGTTCTAGGCTTCCAGCATGGGTAAAATTGCCTAAATCAAGTGCACGAACCAAAGCATGTGTATGAGGCAGCCCACCTGGGAGTGTAGTCACTCCAAAAGAGCTTGTGATATAGGTCGGTACGCCCTACAAACGCACAATGTAATGGCCCCTAATATTACCGTGTTACAATGTTGTTACGTCTTGTTCTAAAGTTTTTATGACACGTTAGAACATTGTTACAATTTGTTAGATAGTTGTTACAACTTGTTCAAATGTTGTAGCAACATGGTAGTTTAGTCGCGTGTTTGGCGGGGTATATCTATATATCAATCGCCCTAACAATGGGGGATTGAAATGAAGCTCTAGAGTTTCACCTAGCTGCTGTAAATGGTACTTGCTCTCACCATTTCTACCTCCAGATCATTCCAATTGTATACTTGTATTTCCTTACAGTTCTCTGGCTCAGTTATATTTTCAACTACCACCAATGCCTTCACACAAAGACGAGTAGGCTCAGGAATCTGTACACTAGTTGACTGACAGTTGAAAGGTAGGACCAAAGAACTAGAGCTCAATAACCCCTTCCCCCCGCACAAGCATTACTAGGCAAGTACAACTGGGTGAGTACTGTTCTCCATCCCATGTAAAAGACCATTTATAACCACTTGTATATTCCCCTCAGTATCTTGTATGGTATAATTACATTGACTCTAGTCCTCTCCTTTAATGCTGATTGACCGAGTTCTCTTAGCTCACTCTCATCATTTCTTCTCTAGTACTAGACTCTCAGCACATCTTTATACTTTATACTTTTATAGATATTTGTGCTTTACTCGATGTGGACTCCATGCTGGACATGTATATTTCATTCCTGACCTAACGTATATGGTGTATAACATTTTGAATTATCCTTTAGTCTTTATCTTAAGAGCCATCTTTATGTTAGCTAACATAACACAAGCCACAAACAATAATCGCTTGAATTAAACTGCCCTTGGTGTTAAAGCTGGTGTTACACCCACCCACAAGTCATTTTCCTTAAGCGTTCTTGCAGCTGCCTTTCCTTATATAGTGTATTATGCTGGCCTTCTGACCTCCACTCCCCTCTCTCAAGCCTCATTACTTTTCATATGATGGGAGTAAACTCTTATTTGTCTGGCCATATCTGCAGTCTGTGTAGTTATGCATGTTACACCATGCAGTCCACTACACTTATCATCATCTACAAACATTGTCATATATGATCCTACCTCCTCACGAAAGATATTTACATAAACCAAGAGCAGTTTTGAGTCAAGTGCCAAACCTTGTGAGACATCTCTTGCCATTTTCATCTGTCCTGACACTTCCTCTCTCACTTCTGTTTCCTGTTTGTTAAATACTCTCTAATCCAATATTGAATCTTCCCATGAGAATTTCTGAACTTTTACATGGGTTAGCAAGAATTATGATGTCTACAATGCTCCATTAGTACACAAATGTTGCACATCATGTACAGTAATATATACAGTGGCCCCTCCATTTACAAATCTAATCCGTTCCCAGAGACGGTTCATAACCCGAAAATTTGTAAACCGAAGCGAATTTTCCCATAAGAAATTAGGCAAATTGAATTAATCCGTTCCACACTTCCAAAAATACAAAAATATTAACATCAACGTAAATTTTATACCTAATTCACCCAAATCTTCAGTACTAAAGTATGTACAAGTTATTGCTTACCTTTATTGATGACTCTTGTTGGCATATGGAAGACGGTGAGAGGGGGGGAGGAAGAGAGGTGTTAGTGTTTGGAAGGGGAGTCCCCTTTCATTATAACATCAGGCAGTGATGACTTCTCTTTGGGTACTCTCTCTCTCTCTCTCCTACACTTTGGAGTACTGTACCACTAGGACCTGGTTGTGGCTCACTGCTTGCTTGTTTTACTAAGAATCTGTCTAAAGACACTTGTTTTTCCCTACATTTTAACACTTGTCTGTAATAAGACATCACATTGTCATTTAAAAGTTCACTGCAACGGCCTCTAACAGCTTTATCTGGGCGAGTTTTTTCAACAAAACTTTGCAGCTCTTCCCATACTTCACACATATTTTAATGAGGAAGGGACATCCTCTACTGCCTCTACTCAACTATTTTCGTAGATTGAACCTTACTAGTGACTTTCTTTGGACCCATGGCGAGATACATAATAACTACTTTTATGTTCAAATATCCAAAAATCACTGAAATTCTTTACAAAGAATTCAGGCGCGATTGTCACTAGGCAGAAGGCACTGGTAAACTGAGGCGTGGTTGCCGTGCCACCATGCGCTAGGTCGGACATACAGTACTCGTATCAACAAACTACATCACCCGAGGCAAAGTTCATAACCCAATTCGGATTTTACGAAGAAATTGGGCTTGTAACCCGAAAAGTTCATAAAGAGGGGCATCTGTAAGCCAAGGCACTACTGTATATGACACACATGCACATATTATCTAGTGCGGAACTTCAAATTTAAAATTCTAAGCCAATTTCTGTACAGTATATTATCCCATGAACTCACTGTAACCTATATGTTAAAATAAAAAATTATCAGTTAATAAACCTAGGATGAAGTATCCTCATTACGTTATGTAGAAATGACTACCAACTTGTCACTAGAACAACAAAAAATACATAATTCCCCCTCATATTAACAATATTAAAAAAAAAAGAACTGTTCTTGTCAGAATATTCAGTGCTGGTTCCCATTATTCAAAACCTCTGACAAAGCTAATAACATTCAGTTCTAGAATACAAAACAGTACAATACACTTGGATTAAATGAATTACCTTAGGCACAACAGCTTGAAGAACATAATTTGATATAGGTTGTGAATTGTGAGATATTGTAGATACAACTACAACAGAAACATCGCTTCGAGGCTGATTTTCCGTGAAGTGGAGTGTAACGTTAACATCGTTACTATCCAAAACAGTTACTGATCCTTGTCTCCCTGAAGAAGAAACAAAGGAACTGTCAAATATTATTACACATACACATATTCAAAATATACAAACAAAATGGGAGAGGATTTTACCACTTTTAATCCTAGGAACAGGAAATCCTAGGTCCTAGGAAGTTCCTAGGAATCCTAGGAACAGGAAAATACCTGTTCTTAGTAGTTGTATCCTAGGAACATTAACCTGTTCTTAGTATTTGTATCCTAGGAACATTAACCTGTTCCTAGTATTTGTATCCTAGGAACATTAGCCTGTTCCTAGTATTTGTATCCTAGGAACATTAACCTGTTCCTAGTATTTGTATCCTAGGAACATTAGCCTGTTCCTAGTATTTGTATCCTAGGAGCATTAGCATGTTCCTAGTATTTGTATCCTAGGAGCATTAGCCTGTTCCTAGTATTTGTATCCTAGGAGCATTAGCCTGTTCCTAGTATTTGTATCCTAGAAACAGGTTACATTACTTTGTTTCTTGCATGCAATCAGACTTAGTACCCAAAATAGATCCAAGGCCTACAAAAACGACACAATCAATACCTACTGTAAAACGATAAGACATGAGTGACATTCTAAATTTTGAAATGCAATCTAAACCTTGTTCCATTTCTAAAAAGTAGGTTGTTATTACTGAGAGCATAGTGGTGGCAATCTAAGCTGCTTACAATATGGGTACTGTGTAACTTGATTCACATTAAATGGCTAAAAAAAAAAAAAAAAAATTATAGCATTTTAAGATAACTCGTGTTATTGGTTTGCTCTATCATGCCTACAGAGATTATATTTTTAAATCCAGACTATGCTGTTCTTATAAATTCACTATTTAATTTCTATATTTAAGGAATCAGATTGACTGAAAATTTTATCTAATAAAATTTGGAATATAGGCACTGATGGAAGCAAATTTTCCAATCATTCTGAAAATCAGGATATTATACTAGGTAATGTTAGACTGTAATTAAAACAAATGAAATTTGAACAACCAAGAGCAAGTTTGTTACATTACAGTCCACGATGTGGCCAAGACATAACTGGGCTAAGAAGCTTTCCTATTTTGACTATACGAGGAACACTACTGAAATAAATTACTTTACATGCCACATTGATGATTATTGGTTGTAGCTGCCATCTAGGGCCTGACGGCTGAGTGGACAGAGCTCGGGATTCGTAGTCCTAAGGTTTCGGTTTTGATCCCGGCGGAGGCGGAAACAAATGGGCAAAATTTCTTTCACCCTGATGCCCCTGTTCACCTAGCAGTAAATAGGTACCTTGGAGTTAGACAGGTGCTATGGGCTGCTTCCTGGGAATGTTTAACAAAAAAGGAGGCCTGGTCAAGGACCGGGCCGCAGGGAAGCTAAGTCCCGAAATCATCTCAAGATAACCTCAAGATAGTAGAAATCTGAATATGAGATGGGGTCTGAGGAGACGGAACAAATTTGAATGGATTTTTAGCTTCTTGGGTATTGTTTGTAATCAAAACCACAGTGATCAGCCATTGGCATCAAAACACACGCGTAGTTTATGAGTGGTTATGCTCAAATGCTTATTCATTTGAGAAAATCTTCAAGGTTGAATCTATGACTTTTACAACTTCTAGAATCTGTCCACTGACTGAATAACAAGAGGAATCTTCCATGCAGCACAAGTCTTGAAAGTTCTGAGATAATAAGCGAAGACATTCTCCAGATATCACATACATACTGCAAATTTTAAAGGAAAACAAGTAACATTCAAGAGAAAATATAAGTACTGTATGCCTATGGGTCATAATTACAGCAATGTTAATTTTATTTTTAGTCTTACAATGCATGTAGTGTCCAAGTAAGTATTTTCAAATCTCCAACTTCTCACCACAGTGGTACTGTAGGATCACTTTTAATCATAATTCAATTTGAAATATTTGTGATTTCTGTGGCAACAAAACAAAGATGAAATTTATTTAAAAACCCTGACTTAATACAAAAATAAATAACTTACAACTTATTACAAAATATTAACAGCTGTTCAAATTGCAACAGCAATAACACAAACATGCAAATTTATAAATATGCCATCGGGAAGTTGATCCTGACAACTGTATTTACAGAAAGGTAACTCAAAAGACACATACCTGGCTTTATCATTTCTAAAGTAACCTTAATATCCGTCATGGGCTTCACTTCCATAAATTGGGGATTTGATGTTGAACTTGTTCTTCTTCTGCTACTTTCACACACACTATTTTTGTTTTCCTGAGAGTGTTTTTGGGTGTCGTTTGCAACTTCACGTATTGTGTTAGAAGACGACGCTTCTATTAAACTATCATCATGACTATCTAACAGATTACTGTCCTCTAGGGGCTTCATTTTGTTAACAGTACTATGGCTCGACTTTATTCCATCAGACACCAAATCAACACTAATGTTCCCACTTAACAAGTCTAAATTTAGCAAGGAATCCACAGAATCTCCATTAGCATTACTAGCACCAGAGACCAAGGGAACACTGGAAGGAAAGTGATGAGTGCCGAGTGGTCCAACTAGTGGGCCCGGATTAGGTAGCAGGCTTCCAGTTGAATTCAAAGATGCTGCAGTGAGGTTTACACTTTGTTGTTGCTGCTTCAACTGATTCATGCTCAGCTTCTCCAGGGGTTTAAACTGAACTTGAACTTGAGCATTGGCTGGTAGACTCTGCTTAATCAGTGATGTACCCAAGGCTGCTAGGTCCTCCAGAGGGTCAGGCCGCTCCTTGGATTGTGCATCTTGTCGATTATCTGAAATTTAAGGCATAGAACTGGTTAAACATAATAGAACACAATGGATCATTAATATGCAAAATAAATCATACAACTTTAATAATAATTATAATAAAACTTTAGCATTTCACATCTCTGCATGACATTTTCATTTTCAGTCTAGCTATTATTCTAACACAAAACAGCTTCTTAGATTAATAATTTTTGCTGTTTTATTTCATAATTACCATATTTATATTGACACCACAGTATCAACTTGCCTCCATACATAAAGGATAGCAATAGCACCCCTTTTGTGTAACCTTCTAACCACATCAATAAGAAACTTATTTTTACTATGGAGAGCTTTCACAACACCGTTACAGAAATTCAGTTTTAATAAAATACGTTTTTGACCAATTAAAGCAAAATACTGGTGATCTGGCACCAGCTTTACTATCACAACTCTTCTACTGAATCTGAATCCCTCTAGAAGAATCCTGTCCTCTAACACTTTCCAATACAGAGCATTTTTTAATCAACTTTACACCTTTATCTACAAATTTTATCTTCAATCCTCACAGAAGTACTTATAAAGATATTTCAAACAAGCTAATACTGTTTTCTTCTGCTCCTACAATATTTGGGCAAACCACTTGGGCTAGGCGGTAGAGTGAGGGTCTCGCTTCATGCAGGTTGGCGTTCAATCCCCAACAGTCCAAGTGGTTGGGCACCATTCCTTCATCCATCCCATTCCAAATCCTTATCCTCATCCCTTCCAAGTGCTATATAGTCATAATGGCTTGGCACTATCCCTGACAGTTCCCTTCCTTTCCCTACAGGAGCCGGTCGGCTGAGCAGACAGCACGCTGGACTTGTGATCCTGCGGTCCTGGGTTCGATCCCAGGCGCCGGCGAGAAACGATGGGCAGAGTTTCTTTCACCCTATGCCCCTGTTACCTAGTAGTAAAATAGGTACCTGGGTGTTAGTCAGCTGTCACGGGCTGCTTCCTAGGGGTAGAGGCCTGGTCAAGGACCGGGCCACAGGGACACTAAAAAGCCCCGAAATCATCTCAAGATAACCTCCTTGCAGTATTATCAGCCAAATCAGCTTATACTGGGAATTATTATATACAAAAGAACCAAATTTCTCTAGCACATGGAGGAAAATAATCTTATGAAAAATATGGCCTTAACTTACTATCAAGTGAAGTGGAGGTTTGTGGTACAAGTGTCGGAGCCATGGCTGTGGGTAACGCTGCATCCAGCTGCAACTCTGCCGACACTGCTGAGGAGTTGGCCGAGGCCGAGAAGATTCCTCCGAGATCCAGTAACGAAGTGTTGTTCTCCACGACAGGTTCGTCGAAAGAGGTTATGCATGTTCGGCCATAGTTCAAACCTTCTATAACTACTTCTGCTAAAAGATATATAGTATGCATTAATTTTTAATTTGGCTACACTGCCTGATAATGAAAGAATCTTTAGTTTTATGATCATGCCCAAGTGTTGGCAGTGATCATAAAACTCATTACTGTGAACTTTAAGATATTGTAAAAAAAATGGAGAGAGGGAGAGTGGGGGAGGGAGGGGGAGGGAGCGAGAGAGAGGGGGGGGGAAGGGGGGGGAGAGAGAGGGGGGGAGAGGGGGGGAGAGAGAGAGGGGGGGGATATATGGAGATAGATAGATAGATAGATAGATAGAGATATAGATAGATATATATATATATATATATATATATATATATATATATATATATATATATATATATATATATATATATATATATATATATATATATATATATATATATATATATATATATATATATATTACTTTTTCTTTTTCAAAGAAAAAATAAAACCACAAAATACCCTTACTGGGACTCCCTAGTAATACTGTGAAGATCATAAGGTCATTATTAGAGATACTTAAAACTATACACTATAAACACCTTTACTAATGAATTATGTGGAATCTTCACAGATCAAAATATGTTCATTAGCAAAACAGAATTTTTCAGATAAAGATAAGAATGAATACCATAGAGAGATTGAATAAGAACTTTCCAACGTGAAGAAAAGCATGTGTTTCTCCCCATACCACCTCAGACATGGTGTTTTTATTCAATAAACATGGATGAGCAGATTTGTGTCCTGATCTCAAGGAGCTGTTAGGTAATGTAATTATCAGAAGAAAGCACTAAGCCTTGCAACTATATAGCACTTGGAAGAGGATTTTAGTATAAGACAGAGGAAAGGAATGGTGCCCAACCACTTAGACTGGACGGTAGAGTGACAGCCTCACTTCTGGCAGGTTGGCTTTCAATCCCAAACTATTCAAGTTGTTAGGCACCCTTCCTTTCCTCCGTCTTATCCTCAGATCCTTATCCTCATATCCCTTCCAAGTGCTACATAGTTGCAAGACTTAGCACTTACTCCTGATAATTATTTTACCTTACACCTGCTTGAGATCAGGACACAACTCAATAAATCCTACAAGAACAAGCCACATTAGTATTCATGAGTCTAAAGACAAGATTTCTTGCTTGTCTGACCATTTCTTTATTATCCTCCACTAATAATGTGCAACATAGCCTTACAGTAATTATAAAACATACTACATTTCTTCTGAAGGTCCTGGTTAACAAGACTTGCCAGTCCTTGATTACTTGGCATATCCTCTGGTGTTGATAGATCAAGAAGAATTTCTCCATCCTTTTGAGACAGTCCTTCCCCACTATATTTATGATGTTGACTTTCCCCTTCTGTTCCTTGGTGCTCAACTTTGGTTCCTTCAACGATCAGCTTATAGCGTCCCATCACTCTCGACAATTCATCATTTGCCTTAAGTAGGTCACCTGATAGTCAGTGAGAACAAATACAAATTATAACATTACACCATGTTCCAAACTAAGTTTAATTTCCAAATTTAAAATGTTTACTACAATATCCATAGCAAGTAGGACAATAAACACTGAGGATTACAGAGGTAACTTTGAACCAAATTTAACTTCATCTTTCTCTCTTTTCAGGATAAATTGGTAGAACTTTACATCACACCAAGCCTCTGAGACACACGTTGACCGACCAGGAGGCAGGACAAGAATCTGGCCCTCTCAAACAAGCATGGTGAGCTTGGAGATCAGAGGTCAGCCCAAAACTAAAGAAAACCAACCAGAAAATCGGATGAAACCAAATAAATCACTGTTTGGGAAAAAAAGTGAAGTGTATCCCAGTTGGGGCCAGCCAACCCTCGCAGTTGAGGGGAGCGAGTCAGGTAGGATGTAGGCTGGAACCGAGGGCTCTCGGCTACCATCTTGTAGCAGCAGGGCTATTTTAGGTAGGTAAGGTAACATAAGGTAACCTTGTGGTTACCTTGTGTTGATTTTGGGGATCAATGTCTCAATGGCCCAGTCTCTGACCAGGCCTCCTGACCACCTGTAGGGTTACGTCCTAAGTAGGGTTAAGTCATTTACCCAGAGCAAGCTAATGTTTGCCACGATTTCCATTTTTCATTTCTTTCTTTCTTTCAAGCAGTGGTTTGTTTTCCTTTGTCTAACTTTGAGTCTAATCTTGGCACCTGGTACATCAACATGGGTTTCAGAGACCTGGCAAATTCCTAAGGCTTAGCGGTACCAGCATTTAAGCACAGAAGAGATACTTTAGTTGAACATCAAATTCTTAATATTCATGAATCTTGGGAGTGACTATTCCCCATTTATTATTCCAGAGATACTAACCAATTCCCTCTTCTTTATCATCCATCTCGGAGACAAGTCGATACAAATTTGACCTAAGCGACGAACAAGAGGAGTGTAGCTCCAACATTAAGTCTAAGTCAGCTTGGCTTGCTGGACTTTCTTGATGGCGCGACAACATATCATCCAGCACGCGCACGTTATTCATAGCAGTTTCAACCTGTTGAAAATATAGATATAGTAATGTGCATTATTTTCGTCTGTATCATATGTAACATTTTCAAACAAATAACAGGGTGTAAAGAACAGACGCGTTCAATTTTCTGAAATTACTGCATCTTCATACAAAACTTTGGAATTGGTGTTGGGCTTAAGGCCTATCAACCTTTGGAAGATTATTAACAGCTTACAGACCATCCAGCAAGTATACTTTAGTCCAGAACAAGTCCAAGTATACTTTAGTCCAGAACAAGTCCAAGTATACTTTAGTCCAGAACTAGTCCAAGTATACTTTAGTCCAGAACAAGTCCAAGTATACTTTAGTCCAGAACTAGTCCAAGTATACTTTAGTCCAGAACTAGTCCAAGTATACTTTAGTCCAGAACTAGTCCAAGTATACTTTAGTCCAAAACAAGTCCAAGTACAGTATACTTTAGTCCAGAACTAGTCCAAGTATACTTTAGTCCAGAACTAGTCCAAGTATACTTTAGTCCAGAACTAGTCCAAGTATACTTTAGTCCAGAACAAGTCCACGTATTGGGGTATACTTTAGTCCAGAACTAGTCCAAGTATACTTTAGTCCAGAACTAGTCCAAGTATACTTTAGTCCAGAACTAGTCCAAGTACACTTTAGTCCAGTAAACTCTGTGGATGTACACCAAGAAGTAAGGTAGACCTCTCAGTATATATTTAACACTACCTTATTCTGACACACTATTCTTCCATATATTCTCTCTCTCTCACCCTGCCGTCCTCTCTTGCTTTTGGCTTCGCTTCACTGTTATTGTCAACCTGCACTCACCCAGTGCAGGGTGAGAGCCGGTCGGCCGAGCGGACAGCACGCTGAACTTGTGATCCTGTGGTCCTGGGTTCGATCCCAGGCGCCAGCGAGAAACAATGGGCAGTTTCTTTCACCCTATGCCCCTGTTACCTAGCAGTAAAATAGGCACCTGGGTGTTAGTCAGCTGTTACGGGCTGCTTCCTGGGGGTGTAGGAAGCAGCTACTTCCTACACCCCCTTCCTTCCGCTCCGGGTCGGACCGGGCCGCGGGGACACTAAAGCCCCGAAATCATCTCAAGATAACCTCAAGATAACCCATTCTCTCCACATGCCCAAACTAAGTAGTCCAGCTTTAGTCTTCCTACAACCATAATACCCATTTGAATTACAGCACCCAAACTACAACAAATACAACACCTTCTAAATTCATCTGTTACTAATCACCAATGTGGCATTTTCAAGCATTAGAGTAAAGTGAACTAAACTTTTGAGAGGTTTTATCTCACACAACTTTCATTCTGTCCCTTTAATCTCTCCCTCGGATTACTGCCATCTTTGGCCAATCATTGTCAGATTTTTTTTTTTTTTTTACTCTTTCATGCCAGCCGAGATTATATCTTTGGTATTAACAGTGTATTCTTATAGTGCCCCTCTATTTTTACCACAGGAGTTTTCTGTGCTAAATATAACACTCTTTATCTCATTTATATTTGCCTTCAGTTTCCTTCTCTTGCATATTCCATACAGTTAATTAACAACAATGTGTAGTTCATTTACTATCAGACTAACTAGAACAGTGAAGAAATCAAATAACTAAATCATTTACTATCAAACTAGAACTAATTCTTTCCCTAAGAATTTTGTATGTGGTAATCATATCTCCCTAGACTCATCTGTCTTCTAGTGAAGTGATGTTTAATTCCTTTAGCCTTTCCTCTTAACTCATTCCTCTTAGTTCTGGAACTAGTGTAATGGCACATATCTTAACTTCCTCCAGCTTCATTTCGTCTAACTAGATAAGAACTCCACATATTCCAGGATTGGTCTAACATGTAGCATTCAATAGCTTTTCAAAATATATATATAAATTTTCAGGGATGTCCTCTAAATCGAGCAGTAATTTACCATTTATACATCTGGCAAGCAAGCTCCATAGTTTCATTTCCTCATTCTAAATATTGAATGCCATCACTGACTATTCAATTTATCATCCCTTCCTCATCATCCACATAGCCCTTGAAGGAGATACCAAATAAAAAGAAATCAGTTAGGATGCTGAAATTTGTCAAATTTCACTTTAATATACAATAGACAAATTCACATGAATTTCCATACAGAGAAGGATGACAAAGTCAGTCCCAGAAATTAGATACCTCCCTTATGAAGAGAGATTAAAAAAGCAAAATTTACATTCTCTACAAGGTAAAGAGTAAGGGGTAACATGACTGAAGTACTGTATATAAATAGATGAAAGGATACAATTGTTGATATACTGTATTATATCAACACAAAACAGAACATGAAACAATGAATATAAAATGGTTAAGTTTAGCTATAGGAAAGACTTGGGTAAATTCTGGTTTGGAAACAGGGTTGTTAAATTATGGAACAAATTACGAGGCAACATAATAGACATGGAATCGCTGGATTGTTTCAAACGCAGGTTAGACGAGAGATAATCGAGCCCCCCCCCCCCTCCCCTCAAGGTTGAAATACCAACCCTGCCCAGGATGCAATTTGTGCTGTTTTTTCCCCACAATAAGCCGACTAACTCAGGAGTACCTACTTACTGCTAAGTGAACAGAGGCATTAAGTGAAAGAGAATGCGCCCAACCATTTCTATCCCTCCCGGGATTCGAACCTGGAATTCTCGACTGTGCATCGAGAACGAATCCGATTGTACTACTGGGACCCTAAATACAAATAGGAACGGTATTTAAAGAGATTACTTGGCAGGTTTTTGGATAAAGTGTAAGATCACCCACATTCTGATGTTATTACTAATGCGTCAATCTGTCCTCTCAAACTATACATCGCATTTTGACCTATAAATCCCCAACAGTCAAAATATGATGCACTATAAATCATAGCAGCGCGCTAAATTTATGGGCTGTCACATTTTCTATTTGTGGGTTTTCAATTAGGTTAGGTTCAATTAGGCTCAATTTATTTTGACGTGATGTGACAAGAGGACAGGGTGAATAAGTAGCTGGAAGTACCAGGCAAGCTGGTTGTGGTCAGCAGAGAAGTACAGTTGATTGTATATCAATTCTTTATCAGGTGAACACCAGGAAAACTTCCCTTCATCCTCATTGTCTGCCTCAAAGCACTTACACCTCCATGACCCACAACCAATACCCCAGTAACATCTCTTTTTAATGCCACTTTTAGATGACTTGGTTACAACATCCACCCATCTTTATCGCATCTTTATCTCATGTTGTGCTCCACCACTCTTATGTCTTCCATATTTTCTTTTATATGCAAATTACCAAATATTTTCATTCTTAAAATATTTCCTATCTAAAAAAAAAAATAATTACTGTGCCAGCAAAACTAATGTGTATGATTGATATATTATTTTGAGCAAAATAAATACTACACCCTTTAACCACCAAGATGCTTCATACTGCACTTACTTTATTTTAGATGCCAGCTAAATTACCAGACAAAATCCAAGAGCAAACTTTTACCTCTACTATTCTTCTGCTAGTTCGTTCCATTCTTCTCTCATCTTCTTTCACCATTGATTTAATGAGAGCATTAGCTTTATGAAGATCTTCTGGATTCTTACTCTGCAGAAGCCTCTGAAGCAAACGAGACTTTTCCTCATCTTCAAAGACTGCATTTGCTCGAGATCTAGGCTCGGGTATAGTTGGGGCTCCTACGTATTGAGGGTCCTCCTGTAGATCATATAATGACTTTATTTGGTTGTCTGAGAATTGGCCTACTTTATACTTCACCCAAATAGAAATTAGAAAACCTACTTGAAATACCTCAAAATATTTAAAATGCTGTGTTTTTATTTATCCTTTGGCATCCAATATATATTAACTCACTCTAATTTCATAATATAATCTAAGAGACCTTGCAACACTCAGCCTTAACTCTGTTTCATTCAATAGCAATACGATAGACCTACAGCAGGACTATTGGCTTGATCCACCAATGAATTTGAATAACTATTTATTATTCTTGTGCTCTCTGATGACTAACCGTATCATTCATACAGTGATGCCACACCAGTTTGATATAATCTTCCTGCAATTTCTGCATAAGAATGTTGATTTAATGTACAGTAATGCTCGAGTAATAAATTTAATCCGTTCCGGCATTGAGCTCATCATGTGAAATGCTCGTCTTGCGAAACAACAACAACACTGTTGTCGAAGGTGTTCGAGAACCAGCGGGAACGCTAGAAAGCACCATGTGGTTTGCTTGTTAATCGAGCGAAAGCTCGTCAATCGAGACAAATTTTCTGCAAATGGCTCACTCGTTACTCGAAATGCTCGTAACTGGAGTCGCTTGTCACTCAAGGTTTCACTGTAATTTAATCTAATATGTGAGGGCTTTATGACTATTGTCCTACATCAGCTGGTCGGAGACCCTAGAGACAAGGTTATGAGCCTTGGAGTGTGTAAATAGTGGGGTCAACACTAATTATATTTTCTCATTCCCAGAAAGACTAGAAACGTAAAATCTTCTCATGTCTTTTTTTATTTCCTCTATATAAAAAAAGTCCCAAGAGTACAGAAGGAGTACAAACCCCAACTAGTAACAGGGTTATCATGAGGTTATCTTGAGATGATTTCGGGGCTTTAGTGTCCCCGCGGCCCGGTCCTCGACCAGGCCTCCACCCCCAGGAAGCAGCCCGTGACAGCTGACTAACTCCCAGGTACCTATTTACTGCTAGGTAACAGGGGCATTTAGGGTGAAAGAAACTTTGCCCATTTGTTTCTGCCTCGTGCGGGAATCGAACCCGCGCCACAGAATTACGAGTCCTGCGCGCTATCCACCAGGCTACGAGGCCCCCCGAGATAAACTAACCACTGTATTCATAATTGTGAAGTAATCTATTACTGTACATGGTGTATCTAAATTAAGTGTATTTATAATGTGAAGTATATTACTACTTCTAACAATCAAATCCATGATGCTACCTGTATACTGTATTACTTTCTAAAGATGTTGCAGAGAAAGAGGAAAAGTAAAAAAATAAACAGGAAGAACAGTTGCTTGGGACAAAATTTATTAATTTTAATAGCAGCCATAATTTCCATTTGTTCAAACATAGGTATTTTATGTTTCAAGTTAATATGATGCAGCATTCTTGAGATACTAAACAGAAATTAGTCAGTACAAGGAAAGTACAAAAATTATTTTCAATTTGTGAAAAGCTTATTTTAGAGCAAATTATGCTACCCCTTCCATAGATGTAAATATCCTCTAGGACTAGTTAGCATGAAATTAAAGTAAGGCAAGACATTTATGGCACTAATGCTATGAGAAAGGACTGCGTATATTATATAGAACCTGTGTAAGACTCTGTAGAACTCTAGATGGGAGCTCTAACTAGTCTAACCACCAAATAAAACATACCACCATAGTACCTTTAGAGCCATAAGCAGGTGGCAGCACTGCTGCAATGTTTACAAAAGTTTGACGCGTACAGTACAAGCAAAAACTAATTGTTTCACATACAATTTATCAAGCCAAATGAGATAGCTACAGACCTAGCATACTATCTCGCTTATGCCAGGGGTCATTACTCCAGACCATGGAGTCGACATAAAACTCATAAGACTCAAATATATTTCAGCCCCCTAGAATAAGAGTGAGGAACTTTTCCACTCCTAGGGGCCTAACCCCAAAACATAAAATGTGGAAACCTTATACTACAAGCACATTAGAATTAAGTGAACAATATACATCATATATGCGTAACACAACATTTCTGAAGATCACACTTATGAATACAGTACTGTACTAACCTTAACTACACCTTGTTTCTTCAACATGTTATAAGCTTCAAGGATCTTGGGCTCTGCCTTTAAATCAATGGTCCAGGTGAAGAGAAGCTCCACGACTTTTGTCTTCACCATTATGTGTGTGTGGTTCCCCAGATATTTCGGCGACACTAACTTAATCATCTCATTTAAAAAACGGAATTTACCAATCTCGGAATGGAAGGTGGGACCACAGTTATTTACACAAGCTTGCAGAACCTGCATTATATTTCACAACAGAAAAGGAAGGAAGATTAAAAGGAACAGTACTACTTTCATGACTGTTGTTGGTATCTCCTATGTGGAATACTAATAATTTTTCCATGAAACATGACTATTTAATATAAATATCACTGCTTTATAAAAAACCATGATATAATACTGAAATTGCAAAATAAATAAATAAATAAATAAATATATATATATATAAAAATTATTACTTTACTTATTAAAATTTAATAAGCCTCTTGAGCAGGGAATGACATACAGTATTTGAAATCAATCTAACAAATTTCTTTGCATGTTCCATTTGATAATCAATCTCAGTTCCAGTATATTACTAAAAAATGACATTACATGACATGACAATCTCTTTTTTGCTAAATTTAAAAGAAAATTTTAAGCTACTGTTAGTATTAGTGAAAAACACTTATCATTAAATTGCTTTGAAGAGAACTGACAAGAAAATGAGTGTTGTGAGGAGCAGTAAACTCACGCAAAGAGCCTGCAGCGCCTCTCGTTCCTGAGGAGACTGTATTTTGTGGGCAAGGAGTCTGACAGCTGTCTGAACACCACCCGGTTCAGCAGTAACTGCCTGACATACAGCCTGGATGGAATTTGGGTCATCCTCGGTATTTAGAGGACTCGTGGTCTTCTCTGAAGGGTAAATCAACATTATCAAAAATGCTTTCATTTTAGAATTACAAAAAATAAAGAAACCATTAGTCACCTGTACTACATCATTAAGATTTGAATGGAGAAAGATGTGAAAGGCTTCAGCACTTTAGAATGTAACTGCGGTATTATAGGGTATAAAAAGGTCAAGTATTAAATGTAATAAAATACCCTTTTGTGAAAAGTCTTCAGTAGCTCCGATTAATGTGTATGGTTTTTCCATAAGGACATCATACGCAAAATCTCTCACTAGGTACAGACTTCTTATCCAATGGGCAGTTACCCAGATATTAAATATGTATGCATTAACATAAGTATACCAAATATATAAAATAAGCTAACTCAATGCTAAATTGCTTTGTTGTCACACAGAACAACTATCGTGGTGCTGTGTGCATTGCTCGGTCAGCCAAGATAAACACAATGCAGTACAGTAACTAAATGGGTGACGGCTACAGCCTCAGCCTCAATTAGGCGTACCTAGACAATCACTAATTACTGTACAAGGGTTTCCTGTCTTAACATATCATAACCATACTCAAAATTAGCACAACCAAATATATAATAGAGCACCAAATTACAGCCTATTGAACAACAAATTCAATATCTCACTTTGAATCATTTAGACACTTCAGAAAAACTCATTTATACTACTCTTCAACAGCCTAAGTTATAATATATGTACTTGACAACTACAACTTGAGAGTTATGACAGGTAAACAACTGTCTGGAATCCTACAGAATATGTTCATTAGCACAAATAATGGCAGGAGGATTTGGCATCCATGTCCTCAGAGAACGTAAATACATAATACTTCCTCAGTAATCTTTGCTTCATAATGTTCATGGGTGAACCTAAATAAAAGTTCATACAAAATGCCAAAAACAGTGTAGAAAGAGAGAGAGAGTAAGCCGCTCATAAACATGTGATACAGGTGTTGACCTGACACAATTAAGCCTTCACAGGTGTTTATATCTAAGGTGATGGTTGCTTAACTAAGTCACTGAACAGTGACACTTGAGAGTGATGTCAGCTTATCTTTTAGAGGAAAGCTTAAGAGAGGAAAACGTTTAGGGTCATTGAGAAGGAAGAGCCATTAAGGTATTGCGAGAGCGCGGTCCCGGAGAAGCTGGAAGCGTGAAGTGCGAGAAATCCTGACACATACGGATAAGGGCTTCCAGAGTGGGCGCTGCAGCCGCCATGTTGGCCGTCTGTGGTGTTGTCAACACGAAAGCGTTGGAGCGACTTCCCCGGCCGGCCGCTCACCTCCTTCTCTTCCTCTTCCCCTCTCTACACATCCTCCTTCATCCTCTCATCCCACTTCTTTCTCATTTCTTGCTCTTCCTCTTCCCTAACGAGAGCGCTGGGTTTGCAGGGGGAAAACTATCATAACTTGGAGATAAGGGAATGCATCAGGACGAAGCCATTTCATAGAAAATAGGGTTTCAAATATTACACATAAGAAGGTAGACTATTGTGTTTCTACTATAGATCATTAGATTTTATTTATTTAACTCTTTACTTATTTATTTATTTATTTATTTATTTATTTATTTATACAAGAAGGTACATTGGGTTTTGAGAGTACATAACATGGATATTTTTACATTCTTGTGAAGCCACTAACACACAAAACGTCTCGGACATGTCCTTAATCTAGAAACGCTACGCGTATCAGTGACTGTACAAGAATGTAAGAACTCCTGTATATATAAATAAAGAAATAAAAAAACAGATAATTTTACGTATGTAATTTCTAGCAAAATTTAAGAAATGTTAACAGGTACATTGTAAGAAAATTTGACAAAGATTAGTAGGTATATTAAAGTAAAATTTGAGGCTTATCAATAGGTACTTTTTTTTATTAATACATGAAGAACATCTGCATTTTTTCAGCTGCCCTAGACTATATGAAGTGGAGTACAGTGTGTCAAAAACGCTAACTACGTGATGCTAAAAATCCCCATCACAAAGGATGGTTAGTCATACAGAGGCATGTGGTAGGCAGTCTGCACTGGCAGACTCCGGATGCATTATGAGGATATCATCAACACAAGATTGAATAAGGTAGCAGTGGTACTAAAAGTCCCTATCTCGCAGGATGGTTAGTCGTACACGGTCATATGTTTAGTAGCCTGCACTGGCAAATTTTGGGTACACTGCTGTGAAGATATCTTCAAGAATACGAGTGAATAAAGTAATTGCAAAGCTCCAGGTACCTCATGCCAACTGGTCTGAAAGGTCTAATAACTGGGCATTCAGTGATGTAGTGTGGAAGATCGTGCCGTAGTTCCTGCTCACAGAGTTTGCACCTGGAGTGCTCAGGATTGGGAGACCCGTCACCTGTAGTCACCTGCCACAGGTAACGGTAACCCAACCTGATCCTTGCAACCACTGTGTCGCACAGTCATTGTAGCACAGTTTGATGACTAGGGACTAGGTCCCTTTATTTGCATAGTGTTTGCACAGATTAAGTTTGACTGGTGATATCAAAGAGATATTTATTTCTGGTATATGATTATGGGTTCTATTTCACGGGAAGCAAGAAAGCTTTCCTATTTAAGCAAGAAAGAGAAGGGTGGGCAGACTGCATTTTTATTGAACTGTCGGAAAGCCTTTGACACAGTACCCCATAAAAGGCTGATGAATAAGCTGGAGAAACAGGCAGGAGTAACTGCTAGGGTGCTCCAATGGGTAAGGGAGTATCTAAGCAATAGGAAGCAGAGAGTTACAGTGAGGGGTGAGACTTCAGATTGGCGTGAAGTCACCAGTCACCAGTTTTAATGTGGTGACTGTACCTACTCCTCTAGTGAAGTGGTACCTACTCCTCTAGTGAAGCCAAATATGTGTTTATGAATGTCTCCAGTCTTTCACAGTAGTTTATTTAAGACCATCTGTTCTGCAGTTTTACTAATGCATGATGTTAATGAAATAGGTCTGTAATTGCCAGATTCTTTCGAATTAGGAACTGGAATGATGTCTGCTTTCTTCCAAGAGGTCGGTAGTTTGCCTTACTGCAAAGATGCATTGATAACGTCCAATATTCCTTGTTCTCCAGCAGGACCGGCATGTGCGACCATTGAGTATGTATATGTTATCAGCACCTGGTGCAGTGTCCTTACCACCTTTTTTGGCTCTGCTTAGTTCTTGTTTGGTGAAGGGACAGTCACATTCGTCATTTATAGCTATGCTCTCATGAATGACTGTCAACCTCTCTTGTTTTAATTGTTCTTGCTGCCTTCGGACCATTGCAGGAAGCTGATATGAAGCTGTTCTTTCTGCAAATTGGAGAGCAAGTCTCTCAGCCTCCTGCAATGGTTGAATACATGCCTGTGGTCGGGCTGGTCGACCTGATATAGTTTTAATCTGACCCCATATCTTGCCAAGACTACTATGTTCATTTAAAGTTTGACACCACTCAAACCATCTTGCCTCCTTTACTTCTCTAGAAACTCGTCTTGCTTCAGATATCACCGCTCTTAGCAGAGTTCTTCCTTCTGGTGTGGGGTTTCTCTTTAGATGTTTTCTGAAGATGTTGACTCTTTGGTTCTGTTCTTTAACTTCATTACTATAGAACCAATAGTTCTTTCGTTTCGTGTTACCTGTGATAATGATTGGAATAGCTTTGTTCGCAGCAGCTGCAACGGCTTCCTGCAGATTGGTCTCGTGAATGTTCAAATCCTCAGGTGGCGTGTATGTTGCATACCATTTTTCAAGTTCTTCCTGGTATATATTCCAATTGGCCTTTCTTAAATTCCACCTAGGTTGTGCAGGTGGTGTAAGAGGTCGTTCTATGTTTAGTGTTGTGACAATAACATAGTGGTCACTGGTGATCACCGGGTCTACTTCCCACTTCGCCTGATGCTTGAGTGCTATTGAGATTAATGTAAGATCAAGGGAACCTCCTTGAATGTGAGTGGGTTCCCCAGTGTTGAGAAGTGTAATTTCAGGTACTTCTCGCAGAGCTGCAGCTAAATGGCGACCATCTGCATTGGCTGGCCCAGTCGCACCTAACTCTTGATGATGAGCATTAAAATCCCCAGCAATAATTACATTTTCCTGCGTGGCCAAGGCAAGCACTGCCTCTGCTTCTAGTTTACGTCTAGGGGGCTTGTAGACGTTGTATATGAGGAGCTCAATATTAGCCATATTCACTGTTACTGCTAATACCTCTACTCCATCCCCATATGAAACTGAGTCTATTTTCTTGCTGAGTATGGTGTTCCTGACTAGGGTCATTAACCCTCTTTGTCTTCCCTGTTCATACGGTATAATATAGTGGTCTATATTTTGGTCATAATAAGCCATTTTGGACACAAAAGATTATTGATGTGTGTATTTGTGTGGGTGATTAGATATGTATGTGTATGTATATATGTATACGTATATATATGTACATGTATGTATGAGTGTGTACATGTAAAATAAAATAAAATAAAATGTTTATTCAGGTAAGGTACATACATACAAGAGATTTTACATAAATTGATAGATTTATAGATAGAGCTAGTACATACAATGCCTAAAGCCACTAATACGCAAAGCGTTTCGGGCAGGAAAAACTTTAATGACTAATACTTAATACTAAATGAGTATAAAGAATAAAATGTGTTGAGAACAAATAAAAATAAAGATAAAAAGGGGGAAACCTGGCTGAAAAAGCAGCACAAATACAATTAGGTCGACAAACAGTGTTGTTTAAGAAAACAGACATGGGGTGACAATAAAGGGGCAAGGTAGGTTACAGGGAATTTATTAGGTAGTGCTTCGTTTTTATCTTAAACTGGTTGAGAGAGGTACAGTCTTTAACATGATTGGGAAGGTCATTCCACATTCTGGGTCCCTTGATTTGTAGAGCATTTCTAGTTTGATTAAGTCGTACTCTTGGAATATCAAAACTGAATTTATTTCTGGTGTGGTGCTCATGGGCTCTGTTACAACCTTCAATGAAGCTTTTGAGGTCAGGATTGGCATTACAGTTCAGCGTTTTATATATGTATAATACACATGAGAGAATGTGCAGTGACTTAATGTCTAACATATTCAGAGATTTGAGTAGGGGTACCGAGTGATGTCTGGGGCTAGAGTTGGATATTGTCCTAATGGCAGCTTTGTGTTGAGTAATTAGAGAACGTAAATGATTTTGGGCAGTAGAACCCCAAGCACAAATACCATAGTTGAGATATGGATAGATGAGGAAGTAATAGAGCGTCACCAGGGCAGGGCGGGGTACATAATATCTGATCTTAGAAAGAATGCCAACAGTTTTTGAAACTTTTTTTGATATATTTAGAATGTGTCCCTGGAAATTCAGCTTGTGGTCAATGAGAACGCCAAGGAATTTGCCATCTAATTTGTTACAAATTTGGGTATTGTTAATTCTGAGATTTATTTCATTAGAGGATTTATTGCCAAACAGAATATAGAAAGTTTTGTCAATGTTAAGGGCGAGTTTATTGGCAGTTAGCCAAAGATGTACTTTATTTAGCTCAGTATTTACTGTGGCATTTAGAGCAAGGGGGTCAGGACTGGAGTAAATGAAGGTTATGTCGTCAGCAAATAAAATTGGTTTGAGGTGTTGGGAGGCATTTGGAAGGTCATTAATGTAGATGAGAAAGAGGATGTATATATAACATTAATAATTTTGTAACTAGCGTCAAAAGATTGTTATTTGCTTAGCTAAACGAACTAGAAGGTTCAGTTCCTGAACCGATGTGCCTCTGTAATCCTTTACACCACCGCCCACGGGATGGGTTTAGGGTGCATAATAAAGAAATTGAATTGAATTGGTGAGTGTGGCGGCGTCGTCTGCTGACGTGACTTGTCATGCAGTGTATGGTGGCCACTGTGCTGCTTGGACACAATACCGGCTTACTTGTATAGTTGTGGTGAATAAAACATGTAGATACGTATACATGTGTGTAAATAGTGTAATTAAAACAATAACAGTATGGTGGGGAGGAGGAATGTTAGCGAGTAAGGTGTTGGAGGAGTGAGGGAGGGCGGCTGGGTGTAATTACCTAAGTGTAATTACCTAAGTGTAGTTACAGGATGAGAGCTACGCTCGTGGTGTCCCGTCTTCCCAGCACTCTTTGTCATATAACGCTTTGAAACTACTGACGGTCTTGGCCTCCACCACCTTCTCACTTAACTTGTTCCAACCGTCTACCACTCTATTTGCGAAGGTGAATTTTCTTATATTTCTTCGGCATCTGTGTTTAGCTAGTTTAAATCTATGACCTCTTGTTCTTGAAATTCCAGGTCTCAGGAAGTCTTCCCTGTCGATTTTATCAATTCCTGTAACTATTTTGTATGTAGTGATCATATCACCTCTTTTTCTTCTGTCTTCTAGTTTTGGCATAT